GAAACACCATTCTAAGTGTTGCATGAACAGTATTTCGAGAGTAATCATAAATATTACCATATTTAAAAGTATCTTGCTTAAAATCTATATTATCTATGACACCAAGATTCCAAACTTTCTCATTGGTGATTAGTTGAGTTCTAGGATCAGCTTGTTGCATTCTCTTTAATTCCAAACGACGTTCTTGAGCTTCTTTATGAGCCGTTATATAAACTGCATGTAGCATTGACTGGAGATCTCCCAATAATTGTCTTCTTCTACATAGACTTGCTAATGTACTAGTGAGCCAAAATTTTGTTCTCCTAAAAGCTATAGTTGAAACAATAGATGTTAGAAAAGTAGTGATTTGAACTAAATGTGTTGGATTTTGTTTCTTATTTTTTATTGATCTTATTCTCATAGAAGGACAATTCCTTCGTTTTTGAGCAATATCAAAATGATAGTTTAATAACACACTAATAAATCCGTCAAAAAACTTAGTAATTACTTTAGGAAATGCTTCATAATACTCAGTCAAAGATTTTGGGTTAGTAAGCATTTCTTTGTTTTCTTTAATAATGTATTTATTTTTTAATAAAAAATTACCTAAAGTTTCACCATAATTGAAGGAATCATCTGGATTTAATTTGTAATTTTGTTTTTCTTTTAACTTATCTGCACCTTCAAATTTTAAAATTGTATTGATTAAGAATTTACTTGGTAAATTTACTGTTTCCTCAGATGAATCTTTGTGATTGTTTTTCCAATAAGCTGTTAAAGAATTCGTTAAATTTGATAAAAGACATTTTTTTGCAGTAGAATCACCTGAATTTGCAACATCAATGATCCAGTTGCCTATTTTTTTTAAAGCTTCTTCTGAATCATCTTGATGTTGATTCAATTCTTGGCAAGTTGATACTTTATTTCCTTTTCCCGGTGGAACATACACATGACCACCATTTTTCTGGTAACATTCTTGGCAAATATAACGAGGTCTAGAAGAAAGATTAACAATTCCAATTTTCTCACTCAACGAAACATCATTAGTAAGTGAAGGACATTTATATTGACATACACAAGATGTTAATATATTTTTACCTATTATTTTCCAAGCATGTTCATGACAACTCTTACCTCTTGAATAAACTTTGAAATCCTTATAGCAAAATAAGCACCTTTTACAAATAATTACTGCTAAATCAATAGGCTTGAGCTGCTTGATACCTGGTGAATGCATTTTAGAATTTTGATCTATGTGAAAATGTGTTTCACACACGCCAAGAATTTCTGGTCTTCCATCTGCTTCATTAATAATCTTGGAGTTTACCTCCCACACTCCAACACAATTTTTTAAACTTCGATAACTCTTGTTAGTACAAGCTATGCTTGAGTTTTTTTCTGAATCAAAACTCATTATTGAACAAATAGGTAAAATATCAGTATTTTTCTTACCAATCTTACCAATTAATAATTCAGTTTCTTCTTCAATATCTGTTTTATAAAAAATAATTCTTGAATTAATGTCAAATTAAATTAAAATTAAATCAAATTGAAATCAATTATTAATTAAATGCACCATCATTTAATTCCATTTGGAATTCATCGTAAACTGGATCCATTTCGTCATCACTTTCTGGGTTTTCAGATATTATATCTTCTACATCCTCAGCACCCTCAACAAAGTTTTTAAAAATAATAGAGTTATTTAATTCTTCTGTTTTCTCAATTTCAAATAAAATATCTTCCAATTCAAAATCAAGAATATTATTTTCTTCATAAACAGACATTCTTATAATCACAAATAAATAATAATGAATATTTAAATAATGTTATTATTTTTTAAAAAATAATATAAATGTCAAGTATTTTTATGTACATAGTTACTTTATATAATTTGAATAAGTGATAATTGCTGGTGTAAAACTTCAGATTATTCTATGGTTTTAAAAAATTAAAAAGGTTTGTTTTTATTTTTGGATTCTATAATGCTTTGATTATCTTTTATTAATACGCGACGTAACACTTTTACATAATAAATAGGGGGGCTTGCTTTGACCCATATATTTTTTTTTGTACTTTTTCATATAGAAATGTAGGCGGTGTCACAAAATTTTTATTAGTAAATTGCATCAGACATCCGATTTATACGAAATGATCACCGACTGATATTAAAACAACAAGAGAACGCAATGTGAGCTTTTGCTTTTCGTGTTACAAAACACACATACCGTACTACGCGAGAATAAAAATTCAATTAAGTTGTCTTCGTCGCAAAGAGCAAAAAAATGACATCACTCGGGCCAAGACAATAATCTATTTTATTAAATTCGAAACATATA